GGAATATAAATTTGGAAGAACTTCAAATTCTGAATGCTTATTATACATTGTTCCAACAAATCAAGCTCTAGACATTTACCTTACAGATAGCCTTAGTAAAGTCTGCAAAGATAAATGCACAGTGGCATTTATAGCTACACAATTTGTCTAGAGGATAAAAACAGAAGCAAGCTAAATGTCAATCAATAGGAAACAAGTTTTAATCATTCTCATCCATAGAGATGAAATATTATATCTGGGACTTACTTCTAAATAATCAAGAGCTGGATGGGGAGAACAGGTAGGAGTATAGATAAGATTGGTCATTAATTTAGCAATTGAAGAAGTTTGGGATGAGTATAAGTGGGTTCTCCTTTTTTTTCCACTTTTTTCTCCTTACTTTTGAATGTTTGAGAATATGTATGAAATAAAAACATAAAAAGTTACAAATATATGAAACAGTCTCACTGAAAGGGTGAGATAATGGTGCTGTGGAGTCTGCAAGACTAAAGGCAGAAGAAATTGTACATTGGCAATGTACTGTGGCTAATAAAGCTGTTTCACATAGGTCTATTGTTGTTATTAGATACCATCAAGTGGGATCTGATTTACAGTGATTCTATGTACAACAGAATGAAACAATGCTCAGTCTTGTGCCATCTTATCTTCATTGCTATGTTTGAATCGTTAATGAAACTCTTGTGACAATCCATCTCATTGAGAGCCTTTCAGTTTTTTACTGACTCACTGCGTTACAAATCATGATATCCTTCTCCAGGGACTAGTCACTCCTAATAATATGTCCAAAATACAGAAAGATGAAGTTTTGTCATCCTTGTTTCTAAGGAGTATTCTGACTGCACTTGTTCCAAAATAGATTTGTTCATTCTTCTGGCAGTCCACAATATAGGCAGTAGTCTTCACCAACACTATGATTCAAATGCATCAGTTCTTCTTCACTCTGTTTTACTCACTGTCCAGTTCTTAAATGCATATGAAGTCATTGAAGATCCCATGGCTTAAGTCACACCCACTCATTTCCCTGGCGTCAATTCCAACTCATTGATTCCTCTTCACTTTCAGCAAGCAAGGCTGTGTTATCTGCGTATCACAGATTGCTAATAAGCCGCCTTCTTCTAATCCTGATGCCACATTCTTCTTCATATAATCCAGCTTCTCTGATGATATGCTCAGCATACAACATCGATAAGTATGGTGAAAGGATACAACCCTGACGCACACCTTTTTCTTATTTCAAACCTTCCCTTGTTCTTTTCGCACATTGCCTCTGGCTCCATGTACAAGTTCTGCATGAACACAATGAAGTATTTTGGAATTCCTACTCTTTAAGACTATACATAGTTTGTTATGATCTACACAGTTGAATGCCTTTGTATGGTCAATGAAATACAAGTAAACTTTTTTCTGGTATTCTCTGTTTTCAATCAAGATCTATCTGATATCAGCAATGATATCCCTTATTGCATGTCCTCTTCTGAATCTGACCTGAACCTCTGGCAGTTCTTTGTCAATGTACTACTACAACCACTGTTAGGTGGATCTTCAGCAAAATTTTACTTGCATGTGGTATCAATGCTATTGTTCTATAATTTGCACATTCTGTTGGGTCACCTTTCTTTGGAATGGCTATTGTGCTAGGCTGAGTTGTCTAGAGAAACAAAAGCAGTGACACTCATCTCTGTACAAGAAAGAACTTGACATCCCAGCCCCAACTCAGTCCATAGATCCAATGCCAACTGAGCCCTCCTGAGACTCATGTAGCTACAAGCCAAGGTGAAGAGGAATGCAGTAAAATCACAGGCCAGTGGGTGCAGAGTCCAGTGGATCCAAAGTTGGTAGAAAATGACAGGCCACCCTGGAAGCAGACAGGAATGTGAAGGGACAGTGAGAGGGAAATATTTTAAAAAGGCTAGACCCCCAAGGAGGCATTATCAGGTTGCGACGTGATTGAGAGGCTAGACTCCACACCTACACTTTCACACAAATTCAAGTTGAGATAAAATCATCCAACTACCACAAGTACAAATATGGATTTGTTCCAGTCAGCTGGCCAAGTAGCTGTCTTCCAAATTTCTTAGCATAGATGAGTGAGTGCTTCCAATGATTTATCAGCTTACTAAAATATTTCAATTGCTACTTCATCCATTCCTGGAGCTTTGTTTTTTGCCTAGTGATGTCATTTTCTCAGGACTGATCTCTCAAATAACATGTCTGAAGTATGTAAGACAAATTCTCTCATCCTTGCTTCTTTTTTTTTTTTTTTTTTTTAATTTTTTTTTCACTACCATTGAGTCCATGCTGACTCATAGTGACCCTACAGGACATGGGACCACTGCCCCTGTGGGTTTTCAAGATGGAAACTCTTTACAGGAGTAGAAAGCTCCACCTTACTCCTGCAGTGCAGCTGGAGGTTTTGAACTGCCGACCCTGTAGATTGCAACTCATCTCTTAACCACTATGCCATCAGGGCTCCCTCATCCTTGCTTCTAATGGGTATTCTGGTTATAGTTATTCTAAGACATATTTGTTCATTTTTCTGGCAGTTCAGATTATTTTCGATATTCTTTGCCAACACCTTAATTCAAATATATCGACTCTTCCTTGGTCTTCCTTATTCACTGCCCTGCTTTCACATGCACATGAGGCAACTGAAAATACTATAGCTTGGGTCAGGCACACCTTACTCTTCTAAGTGACATTCTTTATCTTCAACATTTTAAAGAGGTCTTATGCAGTAAATCTGCCTAATACAATTAATCAATTGATTGTTTGACTGCTGTTTCTATGAGCATTGACTGTGGGTCCACGCAAAATAAAATCTTTGACAAGTTCAATCTTTTCTCCATTTATCAAGATGTTGTCTATTACTTCAGTGTGAGGATTCTAGTTTTCTCTAAATTGATTTTTAATCCATAAGGGGACTGATAATTTTCCTTATAAACATATTATATAACTTTTAAGACTATGCATATGTATTACTTTGATTAAAAATATGACTGACTAAGGGGAGCAGGTGTCAAGGAGGTCAAGAAGGAGAGTGTTTTGAAACTGACTGTGGTAACAAGAGTAAAATATTGCTTGACGGGACTGAACTACGGAATGTTATATCTGTAAGAACTCCCAATAAAATGATTATTAAAAAAATATGACTGACTTAAGATAGAATTTCTTGTGGGGAGAGAATTTAGTTTGAGTTGATTCTGACTCACAGCGATCCTGTAGGGCAGCGTAGAACTGTCCCTATGGGTTTCCGAGACTAGAATGCGTCAAGGGAGAAGAAAGCCTCATCTTTCTCCCTTGGAGCAGCTGGTGGTTTTGAACTGCTAATTCTGTGGTTACCAGGCCAATGCATAGCCCACTATGCTACCAGGGGTTTCCAAGAATTTAGTTTGAATAACTAATGTTTTGTTTTGAATGACATTTGTTGTTGTTAGGTGCTGTCAAGTTGGCTCCAGCTCATAACAATCCTGTGTACAAAAGAACAAAACACCACCCTGCTCACAATCGCGATGTTTGAGCCCATTGTTATAGCCACTGTGTCAATCTGTCTCATCAAGGGACTTCTCTTTTTTTTGCTGTCCTCATACTTTACAACGCATGATGTCCTTTTCCAGGAACTGGTCTCTCCTGATAATATGCCACAAGTATGTGAGACAAAGTCTCTCCATCATTGCTTCTAAGGAGCATTCTGGCTTTACTGTTTGTCTTTCTGGTACATTCAATATTCTTTACCAGCACCGTAATTCAAATGTACCAATTCCTTTTTAGTCTTCTTTATTCAATGTTCAACTTTCAATGTTTTATTAGGAGGGACAAACTGGTATTAATAATAGTTAATGCTGGATGGTGTAAATATAGGAATGTGTTACATTATTTTTTGCATTTTAGTCATTTTTCCACTCACCCTCCAAATTCCACTAATATCAGAATTACAATATGAATATTTTTATACTATTTATGGTTCTGTTTGAATTCTGTAGAATACTCTCAACGTTGTGCATGTCCATTGAAACCAATTCCCCACACTGAGGACCCCAGTTCAGTAAACGCAGACCAAAGGGGATGTCAGAAGACACTCTGCAACCTGCTCTCACTAAAACGTGCTCTTGAACATAGAGTAGTTCAAGTGAATGGAAGAAATAAAGCTGAAGAACTGAACAGAACATTTCAAAAGACAACCTGAGAAGCAGAGTAAAACTTTATAATAAAATGTGCAAAGACCAGGAGCTACAAACCCGAAAGGCAAGATCATGCTCACCATGTCACAATCAGAAAGAACCGAAACCTTCAAGTCTTGGGTTGCAATACTAAAAGGTTCTAAGGGCAAAATATTGACTAAAGCAGGAATCATCAAAAGAAGACAGAAGAATAAACACAGCTATTTTTTAAAATTAATTGGCATTTAACCATTTCAAGAGGCAGCATATCATCAAGAACTGATGATACTGAAGAAAGAAATCCAAAATGTATTGAAGGTATTAAAAAAAACAAGGTATCAGAAATTAACAAATTACCAAGTGAAATATTTCAACAAACTAATGCAGTGCTAGAGGTGCTAACTGGTCTGCCAAGAAAATTGGAAGGCAGCTAGCTACCTGGCCAATCAACTGGAAGAGCTTCATGTTGGTGCCCATTCCAAAGAAAGGTAATCCAATGGATTGAAAAAATTATTGAGTAATATCAATACCACATAAAATAACCTTTTTATGAAGGTAATTCTAAGCAGTTGTAGCAGTACATAACAGGGAGCTGTCAGAAATTCAAACATGATTTAGAAGAGAACATGGGACAAGGAATATCATTAGATGGATCTTGGCTGAAAGCAGAGAAAACCAGAATGATGTTTACTTGGGTTTCAGTGACTATACAAGGCTATTTAACAACGAGAATTGTAAAAAACTATGGACAATATTGGGAAGATGGGTGTGTTAGTCAGGGTTGACTATAGAAACAAATTCATAGACATTCATATGTGTATAACAAAGATCTTTATGGGAGGAAGTGGAAGCGCTCCCCGGAGCTGCCGTGGGTTTGGTACCGTCTCTATCACCATGCCGAAGGTGTCCTTTAAAATCACGCTGACGTCCGACCCGCGGCTGCCCTACAAAGTACTCAGCGTTCCTGAAAGTACCCCTTTTACAGCAGTCTTAAAGTTTGCAGCAGAAGAATTTAAAGTACCTGCAGCAATGAGTGCCATTATTACCAATGATGGAATAGGAATAAATCCTACACAGGCTGCTGGAAATGTCTTTCTAAAGCATGGCTCAGAACTGCGAATCATTCCTAGAGATCGAGTTGGAAGTTGTTAATAGCAGCTTCGAGGCGAACACTTTCAGAATAAATTTCATTTTTGTGGAAAAAAAAAAAAAAGAAAGATCTTTATGTACGAGAGCAATTGCATATTGAGAAAACATCCCAGCCCAGTCCAGATCAAGTCTATAAGTCCAATATTAGCCCATATGTCTGACACCAATCTATAAATTCCTCTTCAGACTCACAAAACACATGAAATGATGCCGAATGCAGGAAGATCACAGGCCAATGGGTGGAAAGTCTCGTGGATCCAGTGGTGGTAGAAGCATCTCATTGCTGGCAGGGGTCTCCACATGGCTCCTTCAGCTCTGGGGCTCCAACGTGGCTTCATGTAGACACACAGTAAGCATGGCTTACAGGGAGTCAGCATGTGCCGCCTCCAATGACTATTTATCTCCGTAACACCTCCAAATGAGGTCATCAAGCTGTGACCTGATTGACAGGCTAAACTCCACCCCTTCATTCTTAAGTATCAAATTGATACCAGATTATGTAACTACCACAATGGAAATTCCAAAACACTTCATCATACTCATGGAGAACCTATACATAGACCAAGAGGCAGTAATTCAAACAAAGTAAAAGGATATTGTGTGTGTTTTTTAAGAAAAGGTGTTCATCAGGGTTGTATCCTTTCACTATACTTATTCAATCTGTCTACCTAGCAAATAATTCAAGAAGCTAGACTATATGAAGAATAATGTGACATTCAGATTGGAGGAAGGCATATGACAGGTTGTTAATGAAAGCCAAGAACCCTTGAAGCACATGTTGATGAAGATCTAAGACTATAGTCTTGGAGGGAGGGGGTGGGAATGAGGAGCTGATACTAGGGGCTCAAGTAGAAAGAAAATGTTTTAAAAATGATGATGACAACATATGTACAAATGTGCTTGGTGCAGATGAATGTGGTAAGAGATGTAAAAGCCCCCAATAAAAGTGTTTAATAATAATAATTTTAAAAGATTGTACTCTTCATTATAGATTACACTTCAACATAAAGAAAACAAAATCATAACTGGACAAATAGTCATCATGATAAATGAAAACAGATTGAAGTTGCAAATATTTCACTTTACTGGGATCTATTGTCAATGCTCATGGAAGCAGCAGTCAAGAAATCAAATTACTTACTGTAATAACAACATACATGATTTCCAGGAAAGATTAAAGTAAACAGGGCACTGTAGACAGACATGCTTCACAATCCCTCTTCAATAAAGTCATGGAGAAAACAGGAATGGAGGAAAAACCTAAAGACTTGAATTTCTGAGAAGTGAACAATAAGTGAACTGAACACCCACAAAGAAAGTATGAGTGTGGAACCCACACAGAGACCCATAGTAGTAATAAACTCCCAGCTAGGACACCAAGTGCCCAGCAGTCCCTCCCACGGTGAGAAACAATTCCTGGAGCACTCAACCATACAAGAGATGGGTCAATCTCTTACTCCTCCCATCAGGAGATGACCTGAAGAATACCAGGATTCAATCTAGTCCACTGTGAGGATGGTTGCACACGCCTCCTCCCAACCCACTGGGAAGTGTGTGCACTCTGAAGGTGGAGTGGGCCTGAAGAGACCACACAATCTGTGAGGCAAACACAGTGGCAGCTGAATCCTATTAGTTTCACGAAGGCTAATAGGATCACACTTGGATGCAAGAAGGCAGGCGCTGCAAGTTACCACCCACCCCCACAGTTGAAGGGCAACAGTAGTCTTGGTCTAAAGCAGCTCTGTGGCTGGAGGACAGGCCTTTTTATTTCTTTCTTCTTGCTTTTCCTCCTCCATGCAGTGTTTTGCGTAACAGCGCATGCTCTGTCATTACTGCCACTGATTGGCTCATACTGTACACGTTTCTGTCTGCATCGCTACGTATCAGAGCTACGTATCAGATGCATTTTTGCTTTTGTACAGTGTACTGTAATTGTTTGCAATTTTTAAGAAATTTTATCTAAGCCCTATGATGGCTCCTAAACGAGCTGCTTCTTCTAAGCCTTCTGACAAAAAAAAATAAGCGCCAGAGGAAGATGCTCACCATCCAGGAAAAGGTAAAACTTTTGGATATGATCAAAGATGGCAAGAAAATCGTGGAGGTTGCACGCCATTGATTACAGTATTTGTAAGAACTATGTATAATAATACTGTATGTGAAATATGTAATACTGTAAACTAGATGCCATAAATAATATAATAAATAATAAATGATAATTGTAATGTCCAAAATGTTTTACTGTATTTTCCCTTTTTCATTTAATAAATTGGGTAATACGAGTGTAATGGTGACTAAAGGGTGTTTTTTCATGTCCTCTATGCTCTAACTACGAAAATATTTGATTTACAAATAAGGAATCCTACTTCGCGGAATTTCATTTATCATGGTAGGGTCTAGAACCGATTAACCGCGATAAACGAGGGTTCACTGTATATGTTAAATAGGTGGAGGTTATAAAAGAATATACTTGCATACATATATAGGTATGTTTTTTACTATTTCTACATACATGTTGCATGTATACTCATATATTTAATAGAACACATAGGGGACATAGTTGGGCATAGGTACTAAATTACTGGACTTGAATGCTTAAGATCATGGTCTCAAGCAAAACAGAGGTCATCTGGCAAAACACAGTTTATAAAAACAATCTTCTACATCCTAGTCTGGTGAGTAGCATCTGGGGTCTTAAAAAATTGTGAACAGCTATCTAAGAAGCAACTATTGGCCCTGGATTGATTCCTCCCTCACAACTATTTTCAGCAAGAGTAGTTTATCTCCGTCCCCCTTTTCTCCCACCTCAGTGTCTGCTACCACCCCAGGGAAGATTTTATGGCCATCAATATGAGCCCTTTGCAGTCCCCAAACTATCTTTTTAGTTGTGAAATAAAGACTGAAAACTATTATAATTTTAAGATGCATAATGATGAAAATTAGCACCAGTTATCTTCAAGAAAGGTCCATTTAGGAGCTAGGACAAAGGATGAACTGCATATTGTTGAGACAGAGGCAATGAATTATAAAAGCACTCCAATTAAAGTAACACTGGCAAGTTTGGAAAAATGTCTGTACAGGCTATAATCTCTCTTGGAGTCTTGGAAATAATGCCACCTATGGTCTTAGGACTGAAGTGTGGCTCGGGGCCTATGTATGTTAGTGGACGGCACTTGGTAGCTGTGGAGAAAGATACAAAATCAAATGAAGAAGGGGACAAGAATATGAAACTCTTAAGTCTACTGGGAAATATAGCACCCAACAAGTGGTAGTAAATTTCCACAGAAAAAAAGTGAAAGTTGTTGCTGATGAAAATGATGATTTCATGTTAAAAAAAATGAAGAAAAAGAAAAGAAATGTAGAAAATGCTCCAATGAAGAAATATATATGACACTCCAGACAAAAATCAAGCCAGGCAGGGCAGCAACGAAGTCCACATGGAAGAAACACACCAGTCTGGGTGATCATGAGGGACTAAGTATCAGAAGTTCAAAAATAAGCTATCAAATTGATGTGAAGGAGCGTAGACAAAGTGCAGAACTAAAACCCACCTGTAAGGTAATTGGACAGACCCTCACAGAAGGGCCACATGGAAGGGATGATATATCCAGGGTGCAGTATAGCACTGATAAAACACATAACTATCATCTCGTTCTTTAATACTTCCACCCCTTATTATTATGGTCTTAGTTTTACCTCATTAATCTAGTTTGACCTGCGTATGTATGTTCACTTGCATAATTATGATAGTTCCATGCATGAAATCCAAGATAAACCCTTCAGAAATAGTAACAGGAATAATGATTCCCTGAAGGTGTGGGAAGAGAAGGGGAGTGGTATGAGGGAGAACTGATAGTAACATGACTATATAACCCCACTTGAGGGGAATGAATAACAGAATTGTAGGTGAACGGATACATTGGATGGTGTATGATATGGCAAAATAAGTAATAAATAATATATAATAATAAGGGATCCTGGGGGCCAGGGTGGAGGAGGGAGAGGATAAAGGGGAGCTGATCTCAAAGAGTTCAAGAAGAAAGAAAATGTTTTGAAACTGATGGTGGCAGCAATTGTACAATTATGCTCCACCTATTTGGATTATGGATTATTATAATATCTGTAAGAGCTTCTAATAAAGCAATTTAAAAAAAATCAAAACCATCAATACCAAGATCAAGAAAGAATCCTTCAAAATAAGGGGAGGGGGAACCTCCTAAATCACCAAAAAGACATAATTATGTAGAAGACATTAAATTAAAAATGCAAGCAAGTATAGAAAAAAATTGCACTGAACACTCCTGGGCACTCCTCGTACACTTTCCCTGCCATCGAGTGAGTCAATGCCAACTCATAGCGGCCCCTGTGGGTTTCCGAAACTGTAACTATTTATGGGAGTAGAAAGTCCAGTCTTTCTCCCGAGGAGCTATAGTAGTTTTGAACTGCCAACCTTGCAGATCACAGCCCAATGTTTAATCACTACATCCCAGGGCTCCATACTCCTAGGATAGGAAGAGGAAAGGAAAAACAAACATGGTTCTTATTCTGAGTATCATCACCAATCCAGACTGTCTTCTATTTTAATCTCACCCTTCCTCCCTCGTTTGGCACCCACTAAACCCCCTTTGTGAAAATGATGCAGGACTGGGCAGTGTTTCCTTTTGTTGTGTGTAGGGTTGCTATGGGTCAGAATTAACTTAATGGCATTTAACTACAATACCCGCTTGCAGACTGGAAGTAATCTCTTGCTGGGTTTCCTAAAGCATTTTCATTTGACCACTACGATTCACTGAACTGCATGCACTCTACTATGTTACCACACTTTTCTCCTCCTCCTCCTCCTCCTTCTCCTTCTTCCTGTGTGTGGTGATGTGACTGCACCAGTTTGTATATGAATTTCAAGAATGAAAACAAGTGCATTCCAAAACAGCTAGATATGCGAGTCCAAAGGAAAAGTAGGAAGGTTTTAACTGCCACATTCACGCTAAGCACATTCGTCTCCTTCAGCATCCCAAAGATGAGCACATTCTGCTTAGCTATGTAATAAG